CCTCAAGGTGGGTGCCTTTTGAAATGCGTGAAACTCGAGAACCCTGAGTTGGAGGCTCATTTTTGTGTAGATTGAACATTGTCTTAGGTGGTGCCTCCTGGATGCATGAATTTTCTAAACTTTTGACAAGTTTGCCTTTATTTCTGTGAGATAACCTTTTCACTATTTTCCCCAGTTGCTATGTTCTTGTGAGAATGTACTTATCATGAAAATAAGCTATTCTTAGTCTTCATTCAGTCACAGTGGCTATTTTCTCCTTGATGCCGTTCGTTCATTGTTTCCAGGTGTTACTGGCTCCCTGCTTTTCTAGCTTCTGAACAGTAAATAATGCCTTTGCAATAAGGAATAATGCATTGCAGTGGTACTTTCCAAGAGACTTGAACTCCTGTGTAAGTTTTTCTTACCCCGCACACAATCTTAGGGCCCAATCATTGCTTCCACGTGTAGCAGGTGGAATGCACCACTGTGAGCAGTTCTGCAATATTCCAGAACAGCTGTTTCTGCTTCTTAGCTGTTAGTACTTTTGTATTAATGAAGAATACATAGTAGTGGTAATTTTCCTAAGATATAAATTCCTCTAGTTTTATTTATTTGGCCTGTAAATACTGCTATTGCAGTAATGAAGAATGCATTGTAGTGGTAATATTCCTGAGATAAAAAATCCCTTGGATTTATTTATTTTGGCTATAAGTACTGCTTTTGCAGAAAAGAAGAATGCATTGTACCCTGTTTTGAAAAGTTTCATGAAAAATAATAAAACAGCTAAGAAGGAGACTAGAATAAAATATATGTGCAGCCATTGCCAGGTGCCTTCATGTTTAACCTCATGCTTTGCAAATTTTCAAGAAATAAAATTTTAAAAACCTGATTATATCCTTGACTCATATCGCCAGTATTTACTATATCCAGGATCCGCTGGGACAAATGTGATCCCACATAATAGGTGTCAAAATCCATAACTTATAACAAAAATTCTAAATTGGTCCTTTAATCAGCATGCTTTCATTAGTGAAAACACACAGTATCAACAAAAAATTCAAAGGAGAAATCTGGGTCATGAAATTTCAAACGTTTTTTTGCAGCAGAGACGCCCAATGCAATACATCATTTGATTTCTTGACTGCTGCTTCCAAGGGTGCTGGTTGTAGATCCAAGTAAAATGAAATCCTTAACAACTTCAATATTTTCTCCATGTATCGTGATGTTGCTTATTGGTCCAGTTGTGAGGATTTTTTGTTTTCTTTATGTTAAGGTGTAATCCATAATGAAGGCAGTAGTCTCTGATCTTCATCAGTAAGTGCTTCAAGTCCTCCTTACTTTCAGCAAGTAAAGTTGGGTTATCTGCATATTGCAGGTTGTTAATGAGTCTTCATCCAATCCTGATGCTGCCTTCTTCTTCATATAGTCCAACTTCTTGGATTATTTGCTCAGCATATAGATTGAATAAGTATGGTGAAAGTATACAACCCTAATGCACACTTTCCTGATTTTAAACCATGGAGTATTCCCTTGTTCTGTTCAAACGACTGCCTCTTGGTCTATTTACAGGATCCTCGTGAGCACAATTAAGTGTTCTGGAATTCCCATTCTTTGCAATGTTATCCATAATTTGTTATGATCCACACAGTCGAATGCCTTTGCAAAGTCAATAAAACACAGGTAAACATCTTTCTAGTATTCTCTGCTTTTAGGCAAGAACTTTCTGACATCAGCAATGATATTCCTCATTCCATGTCCTCTTCTGAATCTGGCTTAGATTTCTGGTGGTTCCCTGTTGATGTACTCCTGCAACCATTTTTGAATTATCTTCAGCATAATTTTACTTGTGTATGATATTAATGTTATTGTTTAATAATTTCTGCATTCCATTGGTTCACCTTTCTTTAGAATGGGCACAAACATGGATCTCTTCCAGTCAGTTGGCTAGGTAGCTGTCTTCCAAATTTCTTGGCATAGAGGAGTGAGCATTCCCAGTGTTGCATTTATTTGTTGAAACATTTTTATTGGTTTTCCGTCAATTCCTAGAGCCTTGTTTTTCGCCAGTGCCTTCAGTGCAGCTTGGACTTCTTCCTTCAGTACCATTGGTTCTTGGTCATATGTTACCTCCTGAAATGGTTGAATGTTGACCAGTTCTTTTCGGTGCAGTGACTCTGTGTATTCCTTCCATCTTCTTTTGATGCTTCCTGTGTCGTTTAATATTTTCCCCATAGAATCCTTCACTATTGCAACTCAAGGCTTGAATTTTTTCTTCAATTCTTTCAGCTTAAGAAATGCTGAGTGTGTTCTTCCCTTTTGATTTTGTATCTCCAGTTCTTTGCACATTTCATTATAATACTTTACATTGTCTTCTCGAGCCACCCTTTGAAATCTTCTGTTCATCTCTTTCACTTCATCTTTTTCTTCCATTCACTTTAGCTACTCGACATTCAAGAGCAAGTTTCAGAGTCTCTTCTGACATCCACTTTGGTCTTTTCTTTCTTTCCTGTCTTTTTAATGACCTTTTGCTTTCTTCATGTATGATCTCCTTGATGTCATCCCACAACTTGTCTGGTTTTCAGTCATTAGTGTTTAACACATCAAATCTATTTTTGAGATGGTCTCTACATTCAGGTAGGATATGCTCAAGGTCATACTTTGGCTCTTGTGGACTTGTTTTAATTTTCTTCAGTTTCCATTTTAACTTGCATGTAAGGAATTGATGGTCTGATCCTCATTTGGCCCCTGGCCTGGTTATGACTGATGGTTTTGAGTTTCTCCATTGCCTCTTTCCACAGATGTAGTTGATTTGATTCCTGTGTATTCCATCCAGTAAGGTCACGTGTATAGTCACTGTTTATGTTGTTGAAAAAAGGTATTTGCAATGAATAGGTCGTTGGTCTTGCAAAATTCTATCATGTGATCTCTGGTGTCCTTTCTATCACCAAGGCCATATTTTCCAACTACCAATCCTTCTTTGTTTCCAACTTTTGCATTTCAATCACCAGTAATTATCAATGCATCTTGATTGCATGTTTGATCAATTTCAGACTGCGAAAGTTGGTAAATATCTCCAATTTCTTCATCTTTGGCATTAGTGGTTGGTGCATAAATTTGAATAATACTTGTATTTACTGGTCTTCCTTGTAGGTGTGTGGTTATTATCTTATCACTGATGACATTTTACTTCAGGATAGATCTTGAAATGTTCTTTTTGATGATGAATGTGATGTCATTCCTCTTTAATTTGCTATTCCCGACATATGAGACCATGTGATTGTCCAGTTCGAAGTGGCCAATACCAGTCCATTTCAGCTCACTAATGCCTAGGATATTGACGTTTATGTGTTCCATTTCATTTTTGACGACTTCCAGTTTTCCTTGATTTATACTTTGTACATTCCACATCCCAATTACTAACAGACATTTGCAGCTGTTTCTCCTTATTTTAAGTCATGCCACATCAGCAAATGAAGGTCCTGAAAGCTTTACTCCACCTATGTCATCAAGGTCGACTCTACTTTGAAGAGGCAGCTCTTCCCCAAGTTGTATTTTGAGTGCCTTCCAACCTGGGGGGTTCATATCCTGGCACTGTATCAGACAATGTTCCACTGGCTATCCGTAAGGTTTTCACTGGCCAGTTTTCTCAGCAGTAGATCACCAGGTCTTTTTCCGAATTATAAGTTAGAAAAAAAAAAAAAAGTCATGGACCCACTCTACCTTGGGTCACTACTTCTCTGCTCATTTCCATACTTTAGTTTATTAGCTTCCTCAGGTTTGAGCTTGTTTTGGCTCTATACTTTGGATTCAGCTCTCTGTTTAGCACTGTGAATCATCAACCCACTGTCAGATTGTCTATTCTAGCCCTGACCTTGGTATCCCTTAGGGAGCCATCTCTCATTATTTTCCCTTGAGCTCCAGGCACCAAAACCACAGGTAATGGAAATCCCAAATCATTACATCACATCCTGACCACTGGGCATGGCCTGTCCCCCATGGGCCTCATCTCTTCCATTTCCTTTGTTTTCTCACTTGTACTGTCAGTTACCATTGAGTCTATTCTGACTCATGCTGACCCCATGTGTTGCAGAGTAGAACTGCACGCCACAGGGTTTTCAAGGCTGTGGCCTTTCGGAAGCAGATTGCCAGACCTTTCTTTTGAGGTGCTTCTGAGTTCAAACCACCAACCTTCTGCTTAGTAGTTGAGTGCTTAACCATTTGCACCACCCAGGGACTCTACTTGTTTGTTCTGTGCTCTGGACATAAAAGGTGTCTTCAGACTGTTGGACTGATTTGAACCTGGCTGCTTCATAAATATGGACAGAGCTATGATTATCTTCTAAAAATTTAACTCAAGAATCAGAAGGAACCAGAGACAGTCTCCACAAATCTTTTAAGGGCTCAAATTTCAAGGAGGAGCCACGATTTAATGGCTCAGGAGGTTATTTTCATTACCTGACTTATGTACATGCTGCTTTCTTAAATAATTCTTCCAAGGACTCTTGAGCGTAATTGGTGAGATTGAGGAAATAACCACTTTTCCTATGGAAATAGAAATTACCAGATTACTTTTCCAGGTCTGGCAACTGGGGATTTTGAATGATTCTTAGACATTTACTTAATAATAATCACAATAGCTACCATTTTACCAAGAAGTTATGTGCCAGGAAATGTGCAAGATGCTTTACATGTATTATCTCTTTCAATCCTCATTCCAAACCTAGGAAGTAGACATTAATATTCCCCTTTTACAAATAAGGAAACTAGGCTCAGAGAGTTTAGGTGACTTGCTCAAGGTCATCCAGCTCTTAAGTGGTAGAGCCCGGATTTGAACGCTTCATGTCTGTTTGACTACAAAGTTCGTATTTTTGCCTTTGCATTACATGGTTGTACAACACCAGTAGCAATCTTGCAGTTTCCCTGCATTAACTTATTAAGGGAGTTTTCCTAAACAGCTGGTGTTAGTTACTTTGAGGAAAAGATTAATTTTAGTGGGAATGTGTATATATGAGGATTTCTCATACCATTTCAAACACATCACTTGCACTTGATTTGATGGATTTAATGTCACCAAAATCTCCAGAGGGAAACTTTTTCAGCCACACCCAGTCACCCTAGAAAGAAAAGGTGGAGAATAGTGATGAGACTTAGTTGTCAGCAGCTTAAGAACAATGTCCCTTCCACATGGAGGGTGTATAGTTAGACTATCAACCCAAACAGGCTTCTTTCCTCTTCTCCCAACCTCCACCCCATGGACATTCTGTATTCTGAGAAAAAAAGTATACTCTCAGCTAACACACAGAGCAGTTAAGGTTAAAAATTCCAATTAGCTCAAGACAGGGAAACAATTGCAGGTATACAGATCCCAGAAAAGTAACGATAGCACTCTCTGCAGCGCCTCCCTTAACTCACTGCAGAAACCACTAGGTCATTTCACTTATTCACAGCTAAGTGATGTAACACCAGGTTCCCTGCGATTAATGCTGATGGTTGGTGGTTGCAATTCCCACTGCCTTGAGGCGTCTGTGGTTGGAGATGTAGGGTGGGAAATGTAGTGCAGCAAATGTTTCCTGCATTTACCTTGATCCATTTTTCTCTTGTGGGACAGGCCATTTTGGGGGACTCATGCTTTAATCATAAATCGATTGGTTTAGATGTAGACTAAAGATTTTTTTATTTTGACGCACAAATATACTACCATAGTAATATGAGTCATCTACACGGTTTCAAAAGTCTCTTTCTAACTGTTTAAGTTCCAAGCAGCTATTTCTAAGGCTGTTATCAAGTTAAAAACAACAATTATTTTAATCGTCTTCACTTTAACACCAGTGCCTGATAGATAATCTTCTTTGACGTGCATAGCCTCAAGGATTCATCACTCATCAAGCCCTATTTAGTTTCTGTCCAACCCAAACTTTCAAAAAAAGCAATACAAATATAGATTCCTTTTTCTCTGTAATAATAGTAATGCCTTACATTTGCACAGTGCTCTCTACACTTCAAAGTGCTTTCACATCTATTATCTATAGCCTAGAGACTCCATTTCAGGCTGCACCAATTTGTCATCAAGTAGAGATAATAAAGCAAAGAGCTCTGTGCAGTCAAATTCCGAGAATAAGAGTGTAGCCCTTCTCTTAGTAAGGAATATATCCAGCTGTAGCACTGCATCTGGAAATCTGCCAGAGGGAAAGGCTAATGGGAACTGCAGGCATCTGAGTTACTCGCCAGCATTTTGTGTTTAGGGAGCATCTTCTAGCCAAGGAGCTTGAAGTCTTTTAACTAGCAGTGGCTCTCAGAGGCCTTCAGCTACTGAACAAAACTGCACCAGCCAGGCTCGATGCCCACAGAGCTCAGAAGGGTAGTCAAGGTTCAGCGCCTGCCCGCAGCAGAGTTGCCAAAATGCCAAACTCTGACTTCCCAGTCTCTTGCCCAACAAGTCTCCAAGCATGGCCCTGGACCAGCTGCATGAGCATCACCTGGGAACTGGTTAGAAATGCAAATTCTCTGGCCTCATCCCAGACCTACTGAATCAGAAATTCTGGAGCAGGAGCATAGCAATCTGTTTTAACAAGCCCTCCAAATGATTCTGATGGATGCTCAAGTTTGAGAACCACTGTCCTAGCCTCTTCCTTTTCCTCATTTCTGTGATACTCCCCTCTCTATGGATCTTTCACCAAGTTTTTCTCATCAAAATCTGCTCTCAGCCAAGGATCTAAAACTCATTCATAAAGTGTTTGAGTGCCTGATACCAGCTTGAACCTTTAGCCTTCAGAGGACTTTGCCCCTTAGAGGGATTAAAGGCTAAGGCTTAAACGGAAAGAATAAAATTCTAACTGGGAATTTACATCAGCCAATGTGTGGCATATACTGGTGGACAAAAAGGCCTTCCCGACACTCTTGCAATTATATTGCTCAGCCTGTGGTCTGCTAGCCACTATAGCACCTTTGCACTAATTAAAAAAGTGTGCTCTCCCTCAAGTAAACATTTCTTTTTTTAATTATGTGAGAGTATGTTATTGCACAACCTGTGGCAGCCCGATGATGGCAAGCAGCAGCCCTGGGTCTATACATATACATGCATGTACCTAGCCATCCCCCAGACACCAGGGAACACATTCCACTAGCAGCACAGATACTATGCACCCAACCAAAACTTGACTGCCAGGTGAGACCACTTTGTCAGGTTTGGAGTCAAGCTATAGGGGTAGGGGTGGGAGGTTGGAATTGGGCCTCCAAGAACACTAGGCAGAAGAGAGAAGCCACCTCCAAGAACTCCTGGGGTGTGGTCGGGATAGCGCATAGCCAGGTGCATGTGTCTCCCAGTGATTGTGCATGGGCAGGTGTGCTGGTTTCAGTGTATAAATGATAAGGCTCCATTTCCCATGATCCAGGCCTAGGCTGGGAAGCCCAGAATCTCTGCGCCAACTCATGTACCACTCTCATATAAGTTAGAATGGCTACAGTGTGAATAATATCCTCTTAGATGTGGTGCCCTTGTGCAGTGCACACCTGAACATCAGTATTGGCAGCCCTGCCTCTGCCTATACCTGACTAATACCGTCAAGGGTGGACTATCCAATAAGAAAGGTAAGCACGGTGCTTACTTTGCTTACCAGATCATCTGTAGTGAACAATTTCACATTTTTTCACCACATCAGAGATTCTGCTTCTAGGTATGGCTGGCATCTGTCTCTCTCCCAGCTCCACAGCACCTTCCTATAGAATCAAAGTGTCTTTTCAAATTTACAATCCTTGACAGGGGTGGATGACCCAGTAAGCAAGGTAAGCATGGGCTTACTTGTGCTTAATTACTAATCTGTAGTGAACAATTTCATGTGTGAAATCACTACAGATTAGTAAGTAAGCACAAGTAAACCTGTGCTTACCTTACTTATTGGATAATCCACCCCTGGGTACCTTCTTCCTGGAGTCAGCCCTATTTCAAACATGGGTTAGCCTTCTGTCTAGCTTCTTAACTTCCAGTGATAGCTACACAGAACTTTTCCCTGCCAAATCACCAAATTTGAGAGCTCAAAAGGGTAATAGGCATCCCTATTCTAAGCTCCCCCACCCACCCAGCGTGACTGTCAGTTTGTCATACTCTGGGGGCTTGTGTGTTGCTGTGATGCTGGAAGCTATTCAAATAGCAGCAGGGTCACCCATGGCAGACAGGTTCCAGCTGAGCTTCCAGACTAAGACAGACTAGGAAGAAGGACCCGGCAGTCTACTTCTGAAAAGAATTATCTAGTGAAAACTTTTTGAACAGCAGCGGAACATTGTCTGATATAGTGCCGGAAGATGAGCCCCTCAAGTTGGAAGGTGCTCAAATACGACTGGGGAAGAGCTGCCTCCTGAAAGTAGAGTCAACCTTAATGACGTGGATGGAGTCAAGTTTCAGGACCTACATTTGCTGATGTGGCATGACTCAAAATGAGAAGAAACAGCTGCAAACATCCAATAATAATTGAAACGTGGAATGCACAAAGTATGAATCTAGGAAAATTGGAAATCATCAAAAATGGAATGGAACACATAAACATAGATATCCTAGGCATTAGTGAGCTGAAATGGACTGGTACTGGCCATTTTGAATGGGACAATAATATGGTCTACTATGCCGGGAATGACAACTTGAAGAGGGATGGCATTGCATTCACCATCAAAAAGAACATTCCAAGATATATCCTGAAGTACAATGCTGTCAGTGATAGGATAATATCCATACGCCTACAAGGAAGACCAGTTAATATGACTATTATTCAAATTTCTGCTCCAACCGCTAATGCCAAAGATGAAGAAATTGAAGATTTTTACCAACTTATGCAGTCTGAAATTGATCAAACATGCAATCGGGATGCATTGATAATTACGGGTGATTGGAATGTGAAAGTTGGTGACGAAGAAGAAGGATCAATAGTTGGAAAATATGGCCTTGGTGATAGTAACGATGTTGGAGACTGCATGATAGAATTTTGCAAGACCAATAACCTATTCACTGCAAATACCTTTACTCAACAACATAAACACTGACTGTACATGTGGACCTCGCCAGATGGAATACACAGGAATCAAATCGACTACATCTGTGGGAAGAGACTATGGAAAAGCTCAATATCATCAGTCAGAAGAAGGCCGGGGCCAACTGTGGAATAGACCATCAATTACTCATATGCAAGATCAAGTTGAAGCCAAAGAAAATTAGAACAAGTCCACAGAACCAAAGTACAACCTTGAGTATATCTCACCTGAATTTAGAGACCATCTCAAGAATAGATTTGACGTGTTGAACACTGATGACTGAAGACCAGATGAGTTGTGGAATGACATCAAGGACATCATACATGAAGAAAGCAAGAGGTCATTAAAAAGACAGGGAAGAAAGAAAAGGCCAAAATGAGTGTCAGAAAAGACTCTGAAACTTGCTCTTGAATGTAGAGTAGCTAAAGCAAATGGAAGAAACGACGAAGTAAAAGAGACGAACAGAAGATTTCAAAGGGTGGCTCGAGAAGACAAAGTAAAGTATTATAATGACAAATGCAAAGACCTGAAATTGGAAAACCAAAAGGGAAGAACACGCTTGGCATTTCTCAAGCTGAAAGAACTGAAGAAAAAATTCAAGCCTTTAGTTGCAATAGTGAAGGATTCTATGGGAAAAATATTAAACAATGCAGAAAGCATCAAAAGAAGATGAAAGGAATACACAGAGTCACTATACCAAAAAGAATTGGTCAACGTTCAACCATTTCAGGAGGCAGCATATGATCAAGAACCGATGGTACTGAAGGAAGAGGTCCAAGCTGCACTGAAGGCATTGACGAAAAACCAAGCTCCAGGAATTAACAGAATACCAGTTGAGATGTTTCAACAAATGGATGCAGCACTGTAAGTGCTCACTCGTCTATGCCAAGAAATTTGGGAGACAGCTACCTGGCCAATCGACTGGAAGAGATCCATATTTATGCCTATACCAAAGAAAGGTGATCCAACTGAATGCAGAAATTATCAAACAATATCATCAATATCACACGCAAGTAAAATTTTGCTGAATATCATTCAAAAGTGGCTGCAGCAGTACACCGACAGGCAACTGCCAGAAATTCAAGCCAGTTTCAGAAGAGGATATGGAAAGAGAGATATTATTGCTGATGTCAGGTGGATCATGGCTGAAAGCAGAGAATACCAGAAAGATGTTTACCTGTGTTTTATTGACTATGCTAAGGCATCTGAGTGTGTGGATCATAACAAATTATGGATAACACTGTTGAAGAACAGGAATTCCAGAACACTTATTTGTGCTCATGAGGAACCTGTACTTAGACCAAGAAAGAGTCGTTCAAACAGAACAAGAGAATACTGCATGGTTTAAAGTAGGAAAGGTGTGTGTCAGGGTTGTATCCTTTCACTATACTTATCCAATCTGAATGCTGAGCAAATAATCTGAGAAATTGGACTATATGAAGAACAGGGCATCAGGATAGGAGAAAGACTCATTAACAACCTGTGTTATGCAGATGATACAACCTTGCTCGCTGAAAGTGAAGAGGACTTGAAGCACTTACTGATGAAGATCAAAGACCACAGCCTTCATTACGGATTACACCTCAACAGAAAGAAAACAAAAATCCTCACAACTGGACCAATAAGCAACATCATGATAAATGGAGACAAGATTGAAGTTGTCAAGGATTTCATTTTGCTTGAATCCACAGTCAACACTCATGCAAGCAGCAGTCACGAAATCAAACGACACACTGCATTCGGCAAATCTGCTGCAAAGACTTCTTTAAAGTGTTAAAAAGCAAAGATGTCACTTTAAGGACTAAGGTGCACCTGACCCAAGCCATGGTATTTTCAATCGCCTCATGTACATGTGAAAGCTGGACAATGAATACGGAAGACCAAAGAAGAACTGATGCCTTTGAATTATGGTGTTGGCGAAGAATATTGAATATACCATGGACTGCCAGAAGAATGAACAAATCTGTCTCGGAAGAAGGACAGCCAGAATGCTCCTTAGAAGCAAGAGTGGCGAGACTATGTCTCACATACTTTTGACATGTTATCAGGAGGGATCAGTCCCTGGAGAAGGACATCATGCTTGGTAAAGTAGAGGGTCAGCGAAAAAGAGGAAGACTCTCAACGAGATGGATTGACATGGTGGCTGCAACAGTGGGCTCAAGCATAATGATTGTGAGGATGGTGCAGGACTGGGTAGTGTTTCGTTCTGTTGTACATAGGATCACTATGAGTCAGAACTGACTCAATGGCACCTAACAACAACAGTCCAAGCCCTTCACATGTTGTTAAAGAAACTGAAGCCTAAAGAGATTAAGTGACTTGCCCAAGGTCAGAAAGCTAGGTAGTAACAAACTCAGGACTTGATCCAAGGTCTTTCCGCTCCTACTTTGTTTCTTTCCCCTCACTGGGTTCTTTTTGGTTTGCGGAATGTGTGTGTTATTTCTTTTAAGATTTGGATAATTCTCACAAACTTTATAAGCATTTTTGTATTTAGTCTATGTGCATCCTACTTCATGAATAATAAGGAACAGGGAGAACATGGGCAGGTTTTATCTTCACTACACATGCATTATTTGTTTTGTTTTTCTTTTAAGAGAGAGAATGATAAAATACTTCACTCATCACTCACTTTTTAATTAAGAGGAAGAAACATCAAACTCTATTCACTGAAGTTTTTAAAAGTAATTTAAAGTCCATCGGTTTTGCATTAAGGCCATGGTGAATTGACTAAAAGTCAAGAGAACAGGGTCCTAGAACTGACTGGCTCTGCCTCAAACTCAAGGCTGGCCTTAGGGCAGCTTCTTCACTCAGCTTGAGCTTCATTTTCCTCACTGATAGAGTTGGACTCACTAGATGATGTCTTAGGTCCTTTCTAGCTCTTACAATTTATGATTCTGTGATGAAAGAGAAGATGGTTTGTGGGAGGGAGAGGGGTAGAGAGAGAGCTATGAGGGATATAGAAAAAGGTAGGAGAACGGAAAACATTTTCTGGGAAAGGGAGAGGAATGGGGTGGCATGCAGGGAGAGAGAGAGAAAGGTGAGACAAAGAGGAAAACAAGGAGAGGCAGAGAGGCAGAAAGAGTCAGAAAATGAAGAAGAACAATTAGGTCAGTGGGTTCTCACTGGGTGTGTCAGGCTCATGCTGCTCCCCACCTCATTCCCTTTCGCTTCGGACTGTGGCTATTAGAGCAGATCATGATGAGCTCCCACTGCATCTGCCATTCACAGCTCTTTCTGCCTGGTAGTCAGCTCATCTGGCTTTCCTTTCACATTTCAAAGAGTGTCTATGAAATAAGGGATGAGTTTCCTGTACAATTCCAAAGGTTATGCATCTGTGTGTACAAAGTGTGAATTGTGTCAGTGTAGTGCAATGTTATGGCACATCTTGGAGAAGCCCGTCCTTTGTTGTTAGGTGTCTGCTAATCCAGGTACATGATCTGAGACTTCCAGATCTTCCAATATCAATTCTTACTAAAATTTGATTTATTTTAAATAGAAACTAGATGGTGAATCTTCTTTAAAACACTCCTAGTAGAGGATCATTTCAGGAGGCCCACTGGGCCTCTTTGTTTGATCTGTTGATTCAGTTGACTTAAGCTGCCCGCCAGAATCCTCTTCAGCTCTAGCCAGGCAGTTTTCTAGCCTCAGCTGTCTTACTTCACATCCTGCCATCAACCTAATCCTGACTGTATTATTCTCACTAACACCTTCCTTTTGCGCAGATAAAGGCCCCCTTTGGCCTATGCGGTTCAGAACTACTCATGATCTGATGGACCAACAGTCATTCTGGGAACTAACTTAACTCTCTGTCTCCTTACCAAACGAGGAATTATCTGACAGATTCTTAAAGGCCAGTTAGATACAGATGTTTATTTTCCCCTTCTTGATTCTACACTATACCCTTCCAACCCCACCAAATAAAACCACAATTTAACAAAAAAATTCTTCCACAGAATCGGAGAACTATGGCATATCCAAGCCAGAAGAGGCTTTAGAGATCTCTTAGTCCAATAATTCTCAACCCTGGCTACACATATAGAGGAACTTTAAAATATATACCAATGCCTGGGCCCCACCTCATACCAACTGAATCAGAGGTGCTAGAGGTGTTGGGCCTGGGTGTGGGTGTTTTTTTGTTTGTTTCCCAAGGAGATTCTAATGTGCAGACAGGATAGAGAACCACTGCTTAGTTCAACACCTCATTTTACAAATTAAAAACAAAATAAAACAAAACAAGGAGATGCCTAGGTTTTCGAGATTTCCTTCAGAATCTTAGAGGTATCAATACATCTGTAAAGCTGTCAGCTCAGTCCATTTGGCATTCAAGAGCTATCTGATTACCTTGTCTTTGGTCTTTCAGAGACTAAAGCTGCCAGTTCCCCAATACCTCAAGTTTATATTTGAAGCAAATCTTCTCTCTGATTAAATTAAGTCCAAGGCAAGATGCAGAGGTTTCCTGTCACTAATTTAAGTCAAAGCACTCAGGTACACTGGGCAAATATATGACATGCCAATCTTGGTGTTATAGTCCGCTGTCAATTATTTACACAATGGAGGAGAGCATTAACCTATAAAGTCCAAACTACTAGACAATCCAAAAACCCATTCCTGCTCTGTTTTTTATTTTCTTTGTAGTTGCTGTTGAAGTTGAGAGTGTTTGCTGCTCTTGGGAGCATCTTCAAACAAAACAAGGAAACCACACTGGGAAGGCCTCACTTAGGAGGCACAGAGAGACAGTCTAGATTCCCTTTTACCCCCTGCTTAACACTTTCCTGCTGAGAAGAAATAGTTCATCTCTTCAACTGATGCAAAATTTGTTCTGGTTGCCAAATTCCAGTATCTTAGAACAAGGAGTCAGGGGGTGGCCTCTTAAACTTAAAAGACAGAAAGTTAAGCGAAATAAAAAGCATTTCTAGTTCACACAGCAGAAAGTAACCTGTAGTGAGACTGAGAAAAGAAATAAGTGAATAATTTTCAAAATGTTCAATAATACCAGAGGATAACAGGAATAGGAAGAACAACTAGAATTTGAAGGGAATGGGAAACCCTACCCTGCACAAACATGTCTCTAGACATTTCACCACAAACAATTGACACAGAGAGTCATTTCTTCTATTTTTATATCTATATATTCTGGAATGGGTGACAGAAGTGTTTAGGTCTCAAGGTTTTTTTTCTTTTCACATGCATAGTAAATACATGGAGCTGAAAGATCAACGAGGTTATAAGTAAGTAGATTAGTTCCTGAGGAAAATCATTGTCAAAAATGTCAAACAAACAAGTCCATAAGTAGATACAGACAAGAAACTGGAAAGACTTGCCAAAAACCTCAATATTTTTCTCCAAGACTAATTCCTAAGTCACTGCCTTGTTTTAAAACCCAAGAAGTCTACAGATTCGATAGCTGTTGGATATCCTACCTCATAAATCGCTATGTTGGAGTTTTCATATGTAGCTGGAGTTAGACTCCCCGAAGAAAAGGAGAGCCTTGGGGACCTCCCACTTTGGACCTCTGAGGTGATCTGGAAGCTTACACTGGCACGACTTCCTCTCTATGAAAAGATGAGGAAATAAAGGTTATGAACAAAATTCTCTTGATTTAGAACAGATCATTGAGCTATGGTATAAATACTGTGTTTATCTGTTTATTTTTTTATTTTTTATTCCTAAGAAAGTAACTATAAGAGTTGAATCCTATAAACATGAGATTGATTAATTTTCCCTATTCCCCGGTACTCTTTTTTTTTTTTTTTAAGGTCAGAGTTGGTACCTTCTTTTGCCTTCATATACCGCACACACACAAACACACACGCACACATACACACGAAGTGAAGGTTTCCAGGTGCTTCTATTTGCTAGAGAAGTTTAGAATTATAGACTTGGGCAGTAAGAAAGATTATCAGTCATAATCCAGTCTGAGACCCTCATTTTAGAGACAAGAAACTGAGACCAGAAAGGTGAAATGAGTTTCCCAGTATCATACAGCTAGTTAATTATTTAGTTACAAGAAGAGTTGTTTATAAAAATCTAATATTTTGGAAAAAAAATCTATAGCAGAACTAGGACAGAGTCCCAACTTCCTTACTCTTAGACCTGGCTCTTTTCATTTTTACCATTCTGAATGGCATCCTTCTTTGTGCTTGCAAGATTAATGGCAGAAGGTATCCCAGAAAGCAATAAGATGGGAGACAGTGAGTGGATCATCTGCCCATGATTTATGAGTCTGTTGCTTAAATAGGCCAAATTCTCTATTCTTCGATTTGCTAACTTGTACCTGTAGTCTGGTAAGAGAAGGCTGGGGACTGCACAGTTGAATGACAAGAGGAAGAATTATCTGCAATCTGAGTTAACCTTTAAAAATTGGACTTCTTTATCTTCACATGAACCAGCAGACTTATTTCACATGAAGAAATAATAAATCAACAGGTTCCTCATATTCTTCCCCATGTCTCCAAATGTGCCTTTCTTAGAATTATAGCAATTCAAAGCTAGCAGTTACATCTGGTATCGTCTAGTCTAGCCCTAAGAAGCTCTGGTGGTCCGATGGTTAAGAGCTTGGCTGATAAATGAATGGGGAGTAGTTTGAACCCACCAGTTGCTTCGAATGAGAGAGACCTGACAATCTGCTCCTGTAAAGATTAACCTGTTTCCATTGAGTTGATTCCAACTCATAGAGAGCCTACAGGACAGAGTAGAACTGCCCCATAGGGTTTCCAAGGCTGTAAATCTTTCCGGAAGCAGATCACCACATCTTTCTCCTGCAGAGAGGCTGGTGGATTCAAACCACTGACCTTTCAGTTAGTAGTCAAGCACTTAACCACTGTACTACCAGGGCTCCTCCATAAAGATTACAGCCTAGAAAACCCTATAGGATATTTCTATTCTGTTTACATGGGGTCAAAGCCTAGAAAACACTATGAGGAAGTTCTACTCTGTATATGGGGTTGCGAAGAGTCAAAATCAACTCGATGGCACCTAATGACAACAACAACAGTCCAGCCTTTAACTCTGACACTCTCATTTCCCAATGAGGAAACAGAGACCTAGAAAGGGATATAGGCGCTGGCATAAGAATCTAGGTGTTATAGAGAGCAGAGCCAACCTGATGCTATAGACAGAAGTACCACGCCATCCTTTCTCAGCAAAGACCTGAAAAACTAAGTAAAACAGAGACAAACATCAAATCCTGGAACCCTAAGCGTCAAATGAAAAGATAAAGAACTCGACCAAGCACTGAATGGAATAAGAAACTGACAGAGAACAGAGAGCTAGGAGAGTTATGAGTGGAGGTCCCCTATCAGTTACCGCAGCATGGATCCACCATCCTGGACTCCTGTAGGAGACTGGCAGACAGGGAGTACGGGAAAGCAGATTCACGGAGCTCCCAGCAGGAGACAGAGCACCTGGTAATCAGAGAGACACGCCTTCCCAACCCCCACCCCAACTCCCCCTGCTTGACATTTGCAACTTCCAGGCTGACTGATCCACGGCTTCCCAGTGGGTTGATTCCCAGCTTCCTGGCAGGTTGATTCCCGGCTTCCCAGAGGACCAATTTGCGGCTTCCCAGCAGGCCGACTCGCTGCTTCTTGGTGGGCTGATTTCCGGCTTCCCGGAGGACTGATTCGCTGCCTTCCCAGTGGGCTTATCTGCTGCTTCGCAGTGGAGTGACTGCGGCTTGGAAGCACTGGTTCCATGCCTCACCGATTTGCCCCACTCACACCGACCGGCTTAATCACTGCCATCTCTTTGTTGTTGGTGTTCTTTTTTTTGGCCTTTTTCCGTTTCTTCCCTGACCCTCACCTCCTCGCCCTCCTTTCTCTAGAACACCTCACTCCATGTGGCATCCTTGATTCTTCTTGACAGGCTGTGAAGCTCAGCTTAGCTGGGGAACTGCTTCCCCAGTCCACACGGCCATAGCTGGTGGGATCCCCAGAGGCCTTCTTCTTCTTCTTCTTTTTGTTTGTTTGTTTTCTCTTTCTTTTTTCCTTATTATCTTTCTTCATTTCTCGGTTTCTCATCTCTTTCTACTTACCTTCTTTTCCTGTCTCCTGAATACCTGGTGCTGTGTATCATCTGCACCCCTTCTAGCCAGGCTGTACTGCATGGCTTGGAAGCCACTTCCCCAGCCTGCCTGCACAGCTGTGCCAATGGGATCCCTGGGGGCATTTTAAAAAAAATTTTCTTTCTTTATTTTTGTTCTTTTATTTTTTTATTATTACATTTTATTTGTGTTTTTCTTCATTTCTCGGTTTCTTATCTTTCCACTTCAACAGCAAGCTCCCTCTGCACTTTTTTTTGCCCCTGTTTCTCTCTCCTCTATCTCTTCTTTTCCATACCCAGCCTAGCTCCACACATCACAACCTCCCCTTCCCACCCCCGACCCCTGCCTATCTGCACCGTGTGCTGAATATTGGACTCCCGAGCAGCACAGGCAAGAACTACTGGAACCTGCCCTGCACTGGCCACCGGCTCACCTTGTCAGGCACAGTACGTGCCACAAACAACGAATTTCAGCCCCTCCCCTTCAGCTGGACCTGCCCTGCTGCACCATAGCTGAGCGACTGGCCCTGCCCATTGGACAAGGAGATGAAAAATATCCTGTCCACAGAGGAGCAAAAAGCAAAGAACGCATAGCCTGCCGGCTCAGACATACCCTAATAAAACAAAAACGCAGGACAAAACAAACAAATCTACAATCAATAAATGAAGAAAATAACTACTGAATGTCCCAAAGACAGCAGACAATATCAAAACATATAAAAAAAAAAAACAGGACAGGATGGTTCCAGTAAGCATCCAAAATAAAACACCAGATGATTTTCCAGTAGAAGAAGAGGAAATAGAACTACCTGATAGGGAATTCAAATCTCTAATATTCAGAGCTATTCAAGAGTTGAGGCAAAAAGCAGACAAAGATGAGGATAAAACAGACAAATTCATGGAAAAGGCAGACAATTTCATGGAAAATATACACAAAAAATGGAAGAATTCAGGAAAATAATACAGAACAAAATGCTAAAATAAATTCACAACTAGAAATCATACAAAAACAACAGTTAGAAATCCAAAAGATGAACAACAAGATTTCAGAAATGGACAGTGTCATAGAAGGCCTGAGGGACAGGTTTGAAACAGTGGAAGACAGGACCAGTGAAATTGAAGACAGACACCTGGATACAACTTTGTTTGGAAAAAAATCAGAAAAAAAGAACAAAGAAAAATGAAGAAACCCTGAGAATTATGTGGAATACAATCAAAAGCAAAAATTTGCTAGTGATCAGAGTTCCAGAACAGGGGGAGAAAATGGAAAACACAGAGAGGATCATTGAAGATTTGCTGACTGAAAACTTCCCTAATGTCATAAAATGTGAAAAGCTGACCATCCAAGAAGTTCAATGAACCTCATATAGGATAGACCCCAAAAGAAAATTACCAAGGCATATCATAATCACACTTGCTAAAACCAAACACAAAGAATCCTGAGAGCAGCTCGAGAAAAACAAAGTCACATACAAAGGTGAAACAATAAGACTAAGCTCTGATTACTCAGCAGAAACCATGCAGGCAAGAAGGCAACAGGACGACGTATATAAAACCTTGAAAGAAAAAAAATTGCCAACCAAGAATAATATATCCTGCAAAACTCTCATTCAAATATGATGGTGAAATTAGGACATTTCCAGATAAAAAGAAGCTAAGGGAATATGTAAAAAACAAATCAAACTTACAAGAATTATTAAACGGAGTCCTTCAGTTTGAAAACAAACAACATCAGACGACAGCCTGAATCTAGGACACAAGATAGCACCAGCCAGATACCAACCTAGGAAATGAACTCTTGAGGACTATTCAAAACCAAAAGATTTACACAAAGGAACCAGAGAGGTTAATCTGCAAATTACAACAACATCAGAATAATAAAAGGGGGAATAAACAGTGTAGGTATAGAACTTTCTAATGGAGAGGAAGGAAAGGTGATACCAAGTAATAATAGACTGGTTCAAACTTAGGAAAATAAGGGTAAATTTCAAGGTAACCACAAAGAAAGTTAACAAATCAACTCATCAAAATAAAGAAGAAAAACAAAGTCTCAGTAAAAACAAAATCTAGAAAGAAAAAAAAAGAAATGGAAAAAATATCCACAGACAAAGGGAATTCAGCACAGGAGAGTAAGAGGAACAAAGAAATCGTCACCACCACAAAAAAAGCACTACAAAAATGACAACAATAAACTCACAACTATCAATAATTACACTGAACGTAAATGACCTAAATGCACTCATAAAGAGATGGAGAGTGACGGAATGGGTAAAAAAACCAGGATCCATCAATATGCTGTCTACAAGAGACACACCTTAGAAACAAAGACATAAGTTTATTAAAAATCAAAGCAATAGCCACCAAAAAAGAGCAAGAATGACAATACTAATCTCAGACAAAATAGACTTTAAAACAAAATCCACCATAAAAGACAAAGAACAGCACTATATCATGATTAAAGGGATGATCCAGCATGAACACATAACCATAATAAATATCTACATGTCCAATG